AATTATATATAAAATATTTTTTCCCGGGATGATTGTTTATATTATCAATAATTTATGATGAAAAATAAAAATGCCTATTTAAATGGTCTTCAGGAATTAATCAGCATGAGATCCTAATTATTCCTTCTTCGTTAGTTCGATAATTGAATCGATTTTACCATATACAGGTATGACAACTCTGGCGAATAGAAGAAGGATTAGAATATATATATTAATTATAATATTATAATAATACTGAATTACATATCATTATTAAATAGAAATCTGTGCTTATTATTGAAACACATAAAGCTTTTGTAGAATCCATACATTTTAGAAAAAAAACTATCGAATTTGTAAAAGAAGTCACCTCTTTAGCCCAGGATGGATTTCACCAGTTAAAATTGCAGCTAAACTAATCGCTGCACTGGAATCATCAATGTTTTCTTCATTTAGTAAAATATCGGCCGCAATATTAACCAATGTTTTATTTACCGTAATAATTGTGTCGAGCCACATTTCTGGTAAGCCTATAGAATTTCGATACCACGTATAATCAGTCGTAGGAATTTCTAGTTCGTTAGGCGAAGTTGTTTGTGTTCTAACATTTTCGATTAAAGAATCAGTAACTTCAGTTTGGACCTCCTAAAAATTGAAATAATATGATTCACAAACTTTTATTTTCTTTCAAAGTAAATACAAATTTCTTTTTAAGACAAATTTTAGCTCATTACATCAAAGTAAGGTACAATAATTTACAATTGATAGCTATAAAGAAAACGTTTGTTTACTTACAATAACTTTTATTTTCGGATTGTATTCTTTGATAGCCATCGCTATACCTGTAGTTAATCCACAACCATTGATCGCCGTTGGTAGTAACACTGCATCAATATTTTTTATGTCGTCTAAAATTTCTATGCCTAAAGTGGCTTGGCCAATAATCATGTTTGGATGATCGTTCCTATTCAAAAAAATATTTTTAAAATCAGCTAGGAAATTAGACGAATTATTAATAAATCTGTGTTTCTTGAGATAGTAATACGGTACTATTATACAAAAATAATTATTATCTTTCTTTAATTTAATTAATTTTTAAATAATAAAATTAAATTTATCACATATAAATAGAAATACCTAAATTGATAATATTATTTTTTAATGAAAAAATTGTTTAACTTAAATGATAGTTTATAAAAAAAAGTACCCATCGAGATAATATAGGCCATTGGTCTTGGCGATACGTAAAGCGATATTATGCGCTTCTAGCATATCGCGACCCTGGACGAGCACTGTTGCTTTGTATTTACGACAATTTTTGACTTGTTCATCTGCTGTTGATATTGGCATCACTATTGTCACTGGTATCTCAAAGATCTTACCATAATAGCAGAGAGAATAAGCAAAACTGCCTGTTGAGATTGCTATAACGCCTTTACATTTTTCCTCGTGTGTTAGCTGTAGCAAAGTGTAAATCACGCCGCGTGCTTTGATGCTGTTGGTAACTTGACAAAATTCTGCCTTCAAATAAATATGAAATCCTTGATGATTGAGTAACGAACTCTAAAATAATCATATTAAATTTAATTAACGATAGTCTTTAAATAATTCTGTATATAGATATATATTTTACATTACAGTGCATGAATAAATAACATATGTACACTATAATTTGAGAGTAACACTATAATTTAGAAGTAACTGGTAAATCATTACTTAATGTATTTCCTCAATGGCATTAATTTATCGCATAAAAATTATTTCAGCTTATTGTATAAGCTTATTTCTGCAATTAAATACATTTTACATCATTTTTTAATATATAAAATGGGAAATACACTTTTATATTTTTTATTGTTGCACATTGCATATACTTAGATTTTGAAATCTACAAATTTCAAAATATTATTGAAGCTTTCAAAATTGAAATCGAAATATTTGTATACTTTAAATTTACACTTTTTAATCTTCCGCCAGTGGACATAGGGTCTCGCGAAATCCGCGAGTTAGAGTTGTTTACTTTTTTCAATCTTTTCAACTGTGAAGAAAACGAATAAATGGATATTTGTTTCTATGATAAATATGTGTTTTTATTTCTCTTTCTACATATTTTATACATATTAATAAAAAATTGTTTTTCAAACATTTTAAAACAATTTCATCCTTGGGTCACTTTTGACCCTGCGTCCGCCGTGCGAGTTTAATAATTTTATTAAAAGTTTGAAGAAGTTAAGTTAAGGTAATCTTATAGTACATATTTATTACCTTAAAACATGGTGTTTCCCAAATGTGTTTTCTTATCTTGTACATCGCCGAATGGATTCTGTTAACCGAGATCTCATACTTTTGAAATCGTTTTAATTTCTTGGAGCCTTTGTCAATGATATTCTACAAAAAAAGCACTAAATTGATGAATTACATTTCTCCTATTTTTTCGAATATATAAGATATACCGAAATCGAAAATTACACTTTAAATATTTATTATTGAATTAACATTCAAACAAACGAATATTGGATTTTAAAACTTTGATCAAATCTGAAATACCCATTCAAAACAAGTATGATTCTGATGTCGTAACAATGGGCAGACTATGGTATAAGAAAATGGTACATGGTCGATAATCTCTTTCGTTGCTTCTCCTTTCTTAGATTTTTGTTTCGTTTCCAATTGCGAAGACATATGGATATGTAAAATAAAAAGTTACTTTTTCGACGGAAATCACTTAAGATGTAACTGCAGGGGATAACATCCGAATTGACTCCTGTCAAAAACTAATTTCTTCTCTTGCGGATAACTTATTATTTGTCATCAACAGCTCATCTCTCGTCTTTTCCCGAAATCCGTCGTTTGTTTCTAATCCGATAAGTTGTATTTATAAAATTCATCAACAAACAAAGCTTATTCAACGTATAATGAGAAGGATAGTTCAAGATTAGTTTTGTTACAAAAAATAATAAGTATATTGCAGAGCAAATTTATTTATTTCTGCATTTGTCCTATATTTTATACAATTTTTTGGAGATTTTTATTCTTAAATTTTTTTCCGTATTTTTATGTGTATATTGTTATTCCGTATTTTTATGATAAAATTTTACGAAAGTTAATATTTTTTAAATTATTATATTTTGCTTGTTTCTGTTTATTCATTTTTGAAAATAATTTTAATTAAACTTAAGTTATACCAATTAGTGAAAAAACGTGTCATAATAAATCATATTATTTTTTATGTCAATCTCTGATTATCAAGTAGTAATGCAAAAGTAAAAATTGGCCTATTTATATAATCGAAATATATGTATATACATATTTTTTAATTTCATATATACTTTTCTTTATAACGCGTCATGTATGTACCTACATATTATATACTTTTATTGCTAGTTTTTTTGTTCAAGAGATGAAGGAACGCTCTGAAGGAAATTAATTAAAATTACTTTCTTACATGTACTAATATTTTATTTCTTTATTATGTACCGCTTGCTAAGAGAATGTACACATAATACGTGTGTTTCCTATTAGTTATATATATTCGTTTAAATTGAAGAAACATCAGTTAATCCCGGAAAAAAATGTTATATATATGGATATATTTTATTGTTAGAATGTTTTATATATAACATATTTTATAATTGTATATAAAATATGTTAATTGTATACCCAAGCAGAACAACAAGTCATTATGATATCAAAATGATATCAAAATGACTCTAAAATGATCATTAAAAGTCATTTTTTAATCATTTCTGATTCATTTTAATGTCATTTTGACAGTATCGTAACGTATCTTGTTGTTCTGCTTGGATATACAATTATACATGATTATATATAATAATTACATATAATTATGGATTTGCTTTCTGTTTCTGCATTAAACTGCACTAAAATTCTCTTTTTTGTTTTCGATAAATATCAGAGACATATCTCTCATTTTAAATTCTAAAAGTGTACACTAGTTTAGCCATAGAAGATACATTATGGCTTATATTAACATTTTTTCCCGGGATTGTTTTCAATTCAAGTCTAATTTTGAAGTCAACATTTATATAAAGTTAAATGATACAGTTAATATTTAAAAACCGGTTGATATGATCAAGTTGAGTATGTCTCCAGTAAACTTCTCGAAATGTTACTTCAGTAACGTTGCAACGTAAGCAACGTTACTGAAATGATTCTTGCTTAGTGGATCATATCCACTATGATTTTTCTGTTTGCTAAGTATGCCTTTGGTTGACAATTTTGCTAGACATCAACCGATAAATATTTGTATGATATTGAAAAATCATGTTTATACACATTAAACATTTTTTTAACATATATACAGATTTTTAAATTTTCGTTCATTTATGTATGTACGACACATGACGTCCATTATTATTGATAATTTGAATTCAAAATTTCCAACGTTGAATTTTTATATTACTACGAGTATCGTATATCTGATATACCGAATATATGGAATATCATTAATAAAATTATTTCGTTATTCAGTTTCTAATTTAGAAACATCGTAGCTGTCTTTTTCGTAACTTTAATCAAATTTTTTTCGAGTTGTGTGGTTTGTTCTATATTTTTGATTTTATCTGGATTCTTACGATAGATATATATAATTTTCTTTATAATTCAGCTTTCTGTCAGATTTCTTCAGAATCAAATGGAGGAGGATATGGAATGTTTGAATTATGTAAAATCAGCTCGAGATGGTATTGTCTAAAGATACATCTATCTATATTATTAAAATCTTCTTCACTCAAATCCATTCTACCGTATAAAGGTATTACTATCCTGGCGCGTACAAAAAAATCATAATATTATTAAATTGAAATTTTAATTGCATCTACACGCAAAAAAAAGATTGGCTG